CCTTGTGACATTTTGCTCCCATTGGCAGATCATGAGACTGATGCCTAGAGCTCACCACTCCCTAATCACCAACCTTGGCATCAAGGTATCCTACTTGCTGTACTGTGATAGGATGCTAAACCTATTATTCTAATAAGGTATCCTACTTGCTGTGCTGTGATTGGACCACTATCCCTATATAAGCTTGTGCCTTCCTGCAATAAAGCAGACCTGTATCACTGAACCTGGTCTCCTGTGTCTGAATGCGGCTCCACTGACACAGTCTCCTCACCAGCCCTGGGGTCCGGATCGGACGTCTAATCGGAGGAACTAAGAGAGCAGGAGAGTGGCCATAGCTGGAGGAGAGCAGCCACAGCCGGCGACCACAGCTGGCTAACAGCTGTTGGTAACTGCAATTTCAGGGGATCTGACACCCTCTTATGGCCTCTCTGGGCTTTGCATGGCATGGGTGCACTTACATACAGGCAGGCAAAACACTTAAACACATAAAATTAAATGAACAAACTTTAAACAAACCCCTCCAAACCCTCGAATCATTTATTTTCTTTAGTAAATATCCACAGGTTTCTTATTACTTTCTCTCAAAACATAGGTTTCAAAATGTTCACATTTGTTCCTCTGCTTTTAGACAAACAGTCCTGAGTCAAGTCAACACTCCTGAATAGCCAGGCTATTTCTGAACAATACCCAGAGCTCTGCTGCCCATCTTAATATCTGCTGGACCTATTAGTCATGATTACGTCTCTAATAACATTAGCTTCCTTGATGGTAACTGGTAACACAGGTTCATTCTTAGGGAAGGAACAGCTCATGAATTGTCAGGAGTCCAGTCTTGTCCTGTTCTACAAATGTATGGTCGAGAGTCCTATGCATTCGTTTTCAAGAAAGCATGGCTGAGTACTGATAAACCAAGCTGAATGAAAAATGACAAGGAAAGAAGCAGCCCTCTCCTGTTGGTTCAGAGAAAGGACACCAGCTGCTTAACAGCAACTGAAGTGGACATTCTGGCTTTATCCAAAAGAAAACCAATTTAAAAAGCCAAAAGCAACCAGGCATGGCGGTTCATACATGTAATCCCAGTACTCAGGAGGTTGAGGATGGAGAAATGCCAGGAGTTCAACACCAGCCTGGGCCACATAGTGAGCCCCAGACTAGCTTAGGCTAAAGAAAAATACTGTGTCTCAAAACATTCCCCTTTATATTTATTTTATAATAAATGTCAAATGCAAGCTATAACTTTAAGTTATAATTGGAGTCCAGTATAATTTTTTATTCATTTGTGTGTGTGTGTACATGCACAGACATACATGCTTTCTACCTCCCTGCAATATCATCTGACATGTCTGTTCCTAAAGACGGAGTCTCTGTGGGGCATATATGGTTTCATGAGTTTTCTGTCTGAACAACTCATAACAATTTTAATGAACATCCCTGGGAGACAAAAATTGCAAAGTTATGGAAGGTACACTTAGAAATACAAATCCACTCCAAACACACGGACCCTTTTGTTCACAGATGTGGGACAAGAGGTGTCTAGTGGGAGGAAAAAAAGTATACAAAAATAAACAATACCTGTGAAACGTAACAAAACACTGAGCCAGGACAAGCCTGGGGAATGAAAAGTCTTAAAGACAGAAAGTCTCTTATATGGGCAGTGATTTCTTCTGTGTTGACAGTTCACACATGGTCCACAGAAAGACCCCAGGGGTGTCGGGGTGACTGAGTTACCTTCTACTTTCGTATAAGGTTTCCAGTGGTAGAACCATCCCCGGAAAGGCTTGCCATTATATTCTGCACACTGCTGGGCTCGAAAATCCAAGCTATTTTCATTACAGGGGTTAATGTTGCACAGCTTGTAAATACGGCTAGATCCTGGGCAGAACTTGCCACCGTACTGAGGCCTAAAAACAGAATTCAAGAATTATAATGCTAGCAACTGAATGCCTCACTGTCAGTCACGCACAATAACATGAGGTCAATTAACAGCACTGCTGTGCTATGAGCGCTTAGTTTTATCACCCAATTGGAAATAGGTCACCTACAATTTACCTCCTCCCTTCTTGCATCCATGCAGACATAATCAATCAATCACGGAGCTATATTTCATTTTGCAGATGCTTAACATGGCTTCAAAATCTTTTTCACCATACCTGTAGGTAGCCACTGATGATCGTCATGGGAACTGGTACATAAAAGCAAACTCATCTGCCATCGCTGATCTAATTTTAAGGTTCTGGCATTTTCCTTAACAACCGATGAAAATGATGTTCTTGACATTCACCTCATTGCTTCACGTGTCAGGGAAATGGGATAAACACACAAAGGTGTTCTCTACAGTAGCTACGTGTGCCGCACACACGCCCTTCACACTGGCATCGCAAGTCCCAAGTAGAGGTCCACCCTGTGTCTCCAGCTTCCTCTGCATCTCCTGATGTTCTCAACATTTTCCAGGGCTTCACAAGCACCAGCCACCATGAAGATCAGGACTCTTGGGAAGAGGAACAAATCTCCTGTGCCACGTCCTCCGCTGCAACCGTCAGCCCCCGAGCTAGCACTACGGTCATTTTCAACCCTGAGTGTTTTCATGTAATTGATTCTACACTCTGAGGAAAAACACTGCCTCATTTTCATCAGCATGATCACATTTTCACTTTGCAGGCAGCCTGCTGCTCAGGAAGTGGATTTCCTGAGCTGGGAATCCCACCAGAACAAAATAACTGGGGTCTCCATAGTAGACTCTTAAAACTGTACTAAGCAAACTCAGATTTGCAAAAAACAGGGGAGATAAAAAGATGGCAGTTATAGTGAAAATGATTACTAACCCAGCCTGCTCTGTAAAAAGTAATGATTTCTGGGGGCTGGAGAGATGGCTCAGTGGTTAAGAACACTGTTCTCACAGAAGACCCAGGTTCGAATCCCAGCACCCACATGGCAGCCAACAACTGTTCATAACTCCAGTTCCAGGGAATCCGACAGCCTCTTCTGTCCTCTACGGGCATTGCATGACACAGGTACACTTACCTACATGCAGGCAATACACGCATACACATAAAATGTTTTTTAAAAAAGTAATGACTTCTTTTTCTTCCCCTGTCCTTCTCGGAAGGCTAAAACTCAACAGTGGACCATAGCATATTAAAAGCCAGTGCCAACAGAGATCATGAAAGGAGACTCCAGGTTAATAAACTCATGTGGTTAAAGCTCCGTGTCCCTGCTACACATAGGACGATGCAATCTCTTAACTCTCGCCAGAGTAGTTTCCTCCTGCAGCAGACGGTGATTAACACAGAAACCCACAACTGGCCAACGTGCAGAGAACAAGAGGCTGCAGAGTGCTTTGAATAGGACACCTGTCTCAAACCTCAGCCTCCCAAGGCTCAGGGGTCATCGCAGAAGAGGAGCCAGCATGATTCTAAGAGCCAGAGGCAGTGGATGACCACAGGGAAAGAAAGTCTCCCAGACAGCCGGTCAGTTACTCATATGAACTCACAGTAATGGTGACAGCATGCACGAATTCTATGCAAGCTCAAAGCAGACAAAATCCAAGCCTAGACATGGGAAGAGGGTAAAAGTCCCAACATAACCTGAGGAACTTTTGGCAATTGATGGCTGCTGGAAGTGGGAGAGACAATGTCTTACAGGGATGGGACTCTTGGTGGGCCCAGTGAATGGACCTACACTGAAGGACATTTGGAGACCCAAATGCAACTCTATAGGCCATATATTTTATATAAAATATATATGTTTGTATATATGTATACACACATATGTATATATATACACATATCTACGTACATTAAATTGGGGGGTCAGTGGGGACAGGTGCGAATGGGGAGGGGATTTAAATACCATCAAACTGTATTGCATGAAAATTATAATAATTTAATAAAAAAAATTCCTGTCCCTATAGAGGCACAGCAAGCTTCAGAATAGGTCCTGATCCACCACAACATCTTGTACTGAGTACTCCTGAGCGCAAAGGAAGATGGACTCACAGACACAGGAAGGCTTGCATGGCCAGAATTAAATTTTTATGCCTTTTCAAAGCATTCTGGAGCAACTGGCTACACTGTGCATCAGCTGCAGTGTTCTATCAGATCCCTGGAGGCCACTCAAATGACCACATATAAGGCATTTAATAAATCTTAAAGTGTGTTATCATGACCTCAGTCCGCCAGTCATTCTTACAAGGCACATTTGAAGCTAATTCTCAGCTGTACGCTTTCTTTTTAGGATTTAAACAGTAATCTGCATTTAGACAGTTTGTATTTAATGAGGTTAAAGAGCATCACGACATGTATTTTTCCAACTCACAGAACTACAGAATGGAAAAGGCCTGCAAACGCCACTCTTTGGATAGATGAAGTGAGAAGGGGCAGGTAGAACTCAGAAAATTCGCCCAATGAAGGCTGCACACCTCAGAGCGCCAGCGGAGCTCAACCTCGAGCCTTAGAACACTGTCCCAGCTCCTCTTCCTACTCAACTAGGCCTGCACTCATCTGAGCAATGCAGGCGATGCGGAAGCACATGGAAACAGAGAGAAAGCCCCGAGTAGTTAGGGAGCCTCCCCGCCCCACCTTTTACAAGGGGGCAGCCTTGAATCTGAACGGCCTCTGCTTCTTCCCAGCTTAACTAAGACATTCTGGCAACTGATTTAAGGCTTTGAAGACATTATAGTGCAGTTAGCTTATATTCAACTATTTTCAACAGTTCGTTCTTTTGTACTGCTCACTGTCTGGTGTCATCTGGGGTAGGTAGACTCTTATTCTTTATTTTTCATTATGGGAGAAGGTCAAAGTGACCCAAAATAATGACTGCCAAGAATTTCAAGTTTTCTATCAAATGTTCTAACTCAGACACATTTTTTTTTCTGCAGTTTGTCTATTTATTGAGTTGGGGGTCTCACAACACAGCTTAAGCTGGGTTTCTTGAACTCAGAATCTTCCTGCCTTTGCCTCTGGGATGTTGGGACCACAGGCACGCACCACCACACCTGGCTTTCTACAGCTTTAAACATGGGGGTTAGGATACATGAACAGAAAAAAATTCCATAATATCCTTTAATATAGTAAGTTCTTTGTGATTTAAAAAAAATAGAAGCAGAAAGCCAAAGTCTCAGCACATGAATTTGTCCTCTTATTATAAAATAGAACTGTGTTTATTTTCACACAATTCATCCTGACTACAAATTCTTATGTTAGTTGGCTATATGGCTATTAGAATCACTTGGGGAACTCTGGTAACACACATGTGTGTACGCATGCATATGGAAAGATTCCAGGGACCTTGCAGGTTCGTACTCTCTCATTTTCTCTGTCTCTCCCTCTCCCTCTCTCTCTCCCTCCCTCCTTCCCTCTACCTCTCAGGTAGGGTCTTAAGTATCCCAATCTGGTTTCCAACTCATCATGTAACCAGGGATGAACTTGAACTTCAGATCCTCCCACTTCTACCACCTGAGTGCTGAGATTCCAGGTGTGCACCACCAAGCCTGGTTTATGCCAGGCTGGGGGACTGAGCCCAGAGGTCTGTGCATGCTAGGCAAGTACTCTACCTACTGAGACACATTCCCAGTCTCCATAGACGCTTTCAATAAGAATACATGATGTGTGCTTTCAAAAGAAATCAGTGTACATTTTGAAGTATCCTGTTGATTCTGATAGTTAAACCTGGAAACTACTGGTTAGAAAGTGGGCCCCAAAGTCAGTTCAATTATTGTTTTGGAGGTCTGGCTTCTCTTCCAAACTCCACTTGCTAAGTGGCTCTAGAGGAGACAGTGGTATATAATTCTTTTCTGGATAGACTTGTGCTTTAGGAAAGTTCTAGAGTCCTTTACGATATCACTGTTAACTTTCTTGAATGGAGCTTACAGAAAATCTCCTAGGCTCTGTTACAGTGTGGTCATTTAACTGATAGGTCAAAGAGCTACGATCATGGGACTATGGTCTGTCTGCTGTTGTTGGTATGGTACCACAGCAGGTGCTGTGACTGGAGTCCTCTGCCTCTCTCCATTGCCCATCTATAAAAGAACTGAATGGCACACAGTGTCCAATGATGGGTCAGTGTCAAAGTGACTGGGAGAAGATGCCTGGAGAAGTATTTTGAGGGGCTATTGAGGTATAATATGGGGTCCCCACAGAAGACAGGGTGCAGATCAGATGAAAACGCCCTCTACAGACAGGGAAAAGGAAGCATCCACATGCTCGACACTGGGAGCTGTGGGAGCAGATGACTTTTAAGCTCTTATAAAGCTAAAAACTATGGTAAGTTAGCAGATCAACCAGACATAATTCATGCTTGTATGAAACAAAATTCATTCTTGGAAAAAGATCTTTGGATGAAATAGGAACCTCACACTGCTTCTCAGATGAGAAAACTAGACCGGTTAGCTGAGTGATCAAAGGAAACTAACTGCTAGAATTTAGGGAAACAAAGAAATCAGTAACTTGAAATTGAGAGAAAAGAACAGCTTTGTTACAACAAAGAGAATTAAGAGCGGGGAGAGAACAATTAATTCAATTGTCTTGGGGTTGCCCATCACCGGCTTGTTTTATTTGTGACTTCATGCAGAGTTAAAGTAAATAGAATCCTGATTATCTTTAATCTTGTTTAACATGACAAAACCCCCACAGAATGGAAATACTTTAGTGATTAATTCCTTAATTAGGGATCTCTAAAATTACAGTATGATATTTCCACGAACAACAGCCGGTTATTTCCACGAACAACAACAGCTGGTTATAATGAGAGTTCTCAATCCCACAGGTATGAGAAAAGTTTTCATTTAAATCTCAGGGGTGTCTTACACGCACTCTACCAGCAGAGCTATTAAATTAGCTATTTCTTTCTTGGGAAAACATCAAGGTTATAAAACGCTGTGATGTATCAAAACCAAATCCATGAAATAGGCTACAAAAATGTGAAGAAATATAGTGATTTTTAAACAATATATTCAAGACTTGGCCTAGTTACTAGTTTGCCTAGTTACTTGGCCTAGTTTGCCTAGTTACTGGGTCTGATGAGCCCCACTCAAAAGATGAATTTTGACCCCTATATGACATTTAGCAATGTCTGGATGCATTTTTGGTTGTCAAAACTTGAGGATAGAAAGAAAGTGAGCTTACTAGCACTGAGTGGGTAGATGTCATGGATGTTAACTATGTTGTAATGCAAAAGATAATCCCTGGGACTGATCAGATGGCTCAACAGTTAAGAACGCTTGTAGCTCTTGCAGAAGATCCAGGTTCAATTCTCAGTATCCACATCATTGGCTTCCAACTACCTGTAACTCCAGCTCATGAGGGATTTGATGCCCTTGTCTGACTTCCATAGGCACCCGCAGATATGTGCATATACATACACAGAGACATGCACATAAAAGAATCTTGGATGATAAACCCCATAAGAATTTTTCTGGCACTTCATGCTAATAATACTGAGGGTAAAACCTCTAGATCATCTGGACTACTGGATTACTGTAGGTTTGTAATTCCAGCTACTGAGGAGGCTAAGGCAGAGGGACTACAAGTAGAAGGCCTGCCTGGGGTAGAGAATGAAGTCAAAGCTAGCTGGGGCAACTTAGGGAGACCTAGTCTGTAAATAAAAAGTTAAAAGGGGGCTGAGAGGAGAGACAGCTCAGTGGTAGCACTTTATTACCATGTGTGAGACCCTAGAGTCAATCCTCAGTGAAAGAAGGGAGGGAGGGGGAGGGAGGAGTAAGGCAGGCAGGCAGGCTAGTCTAGAGATTATCCCAAGATATCCCAAGTAGCACATCACAAAGTATCTCTAACTTGTCCCTTGTATTTGGGGGAAAAAAAAGTCTTTTTTTTTTTTTTTTTGGTCTTTTTGAGACAGGGTCTCCCTGTAGCCCCAGCTGTCCTGGAACTCACTATGTAGACCAGGCTTGTCTTGAACTCACAGAGATCCACCTGTCTCTGCCTCCCAAAGCGCTCAGATTGCTTAGTCGGATGAAATACCATTTTTCTCTTTTTAAAAAGTCTCCTTTTCCTCTAGTTTCATTATTTATTGTAATTCTTAGTGCACCAAACTTTTCTGCAGAGCTGATGACATGCCGGGGCCTTTCAAAAAGCATTTTATTTACAACCATCAACTCAGCTGTGTCCTGACCCTATCTGCATAAACAGAGACTCTGGGGAAAGGGAGAGCCAGCCTCTGGTGGCTGCACAACAAGCAGTGGTTCAGACCAAAGTATTGGCCTCCACAGTCTGTGTTCTTTACCTCTGAGCTCTGCTACCCCTCGGACTTGGAGGAAAATGAACCCTACTATTTTCTAAGGTCTCTTTACACTCTTCTCATTCCAGCACGCTCCCTATGGGTCACTCCCGTCAGTGCTCCTTCTGCTGTGCCCTCTGCCTCTGACCTGTCCTGTGAGTTTCGGATGAAAACGCTGAGATCCACGTGGACCACAGACTCTTCTGTGGAGTGTCCACTCTCAGTCCTTCTGTGTCTGTCTGTTCCTCTCTAGCTCTCTGTCGATATAAAATCTCAGTATGCAGCCTAGGCTGGCCTTAATTCCCCTGTCTCAGCCTCCCTGAGTGCTATACTACAGGAGCACACTACTACCTGAAGTATTCAGGCATTTTATAGACTCAATTCCTAATTCCTCCAAATCTCCTGGGATGGTATCACATCTCCATTTCATACACAAGCTCAAGCTCTGAGTTCATGTGGCCTTCCCAGAGCCACATGGATAAGTGGAGGCTGGCACGGGCTCTGCTGGCACCAGCTCTGGGGTGTTTGTATTTCCAGCCTTGGAGCTTTCCACCAGGCCAAACAGGAAGTAGCCATCTCACACGAGTGAGAACATTTCTAAATGCACCTGAAATTTTCATAGGCATGAACTCCTGAAAGAATGAACTAGAGAGTTCCTGCGGCTGACTGTGGGTCAATTTTTAAAATTATTTATTTTTATACGTAAAGTTTTTTGCCTTCATATTTATAAGCACACCCATGTCATGCAATGTCTATGAAAGCCAGAAGAGGTTGTTGGATTCCCCTACAATTGGAATTATAGGTGGTCGTTAGCAGCCATGTGGGTGCTGGGAATGAACCCAGGTCCTGTATAAGACTAGCCAGTGCCCTTAACCTCTGAGCGCTCCTCCAGCCCCAAATATGGTTCAGTTTTAACGTGGGATCAGATGCTCTGATTATTTCTCACAATGGCTTTTTGTTTTGCTTTTAAAGAAAAATCAAAATTTTTATCAATATTTGGAAACGTGAATTTGTTTTTATTTTTGCTTCTTTACTGAAGTCAAACAAGTCTGTCAGCACCTGACGATGCACATTCCTGCATCGTCAAAGTTGGCATCTGTTTTCTAGTTCACCTGCTGGAGACACAGCACACACCTTCTACGCACCAGGCCTCATGACTGTGCAGCAGTCCAGGTATCTGACTTGAGGACTACAGAGCCTTGGCTCAGATTAAGAAAATAGCTCAGAGGATGACTTTGATCATTATATGCACACACGGTGACTCCTCTCCTGTGCTCTGAATCCTATCCACCATTCCTCCCTCCAGTGCACACAGCCTTCATATGTAAACAGTAAAAACCTGGCTGATGGCTATGAATTGGAACATGCTTGAGACAGCATGTTCCATGTTGAAAGTCAGCACTTTCTGCCCGAGCCTTACTTGGGGTTATTGCAGTGTCTCTCCTGGAACTTGACTCCTCCACCACAAGTGCGGGAACATTCTGACCACTTTGTCCAGGCAGACCACTGGCCATGGACAGGCCGAGGCCCGAGATCTCCAAGCTTTACACACTGGCCTTGCCGACACCACTGTGAAAAAAAGTGCAACATGGTTCTTGTCAGAGACCACCTGGGAAAGCTCAGGGAGTGGCAAATACTTGCACAGTTGAGAGGAAACACCAGTCTGGGGACAGAAAGGACAGTTTATGACACTGTGACGTGGCCCATCTATGCTGGGCTATGAAAACCCAGTTGTTCTGTGTCTACTGCTGTATTTTTAAATTTATTATTTTAAATTTTTTATTTTTATTTTATGTGTATGAGTATATTGACTACATGTATGTAAGTGCACCTGTGTATTGACTACATGTATGTAAGGCACCTCCAACACCTGTGGAGGTCAGAAGAGGATGACTGATTCCCCTGGAACTGGAGTTACAGACAGTTGTTAGTTACCATGTGTGTGTTGGGAATCAAACTCAGGTCCTCTGAAAGAGCAGCCAGTGCTCTTAACTTCTGAGTCATCTCTACAGCCCCTGATGCCTGCATTTTAAATGCTGTAAGTGGCATTTCCCATCGACACATGGAGAAGTACACACTTCACGAGCTGTCCTGGGAGGGAAATGCTGCCAGATTCTATTTAATGGGCAAGGATGCCAGTCAAACAAAATTACAAATGGAGTCTCCTTGTCACTTGGAGATGGATACTACGTATGGAACAATTCAAATTATTTGCTCAAGAAACTTTGAACATATTCAAGAACTGATGCTTGTGATTGTTTCATCATAAAAGCATTTGCAAGATATAATTATATATGTAATTTGGCTCATTCAAGCATCACTATAGGGTATTTCATATGAAGCAGAGTAACTTTTTAAAAAATATAAAACAAAATGTCTATGTCGAAGAGATCTCTATTTCGAACCCTCTGATGGCTTGGTAGTCTTTCAGCGTCTTAGATGAATTTGCTCCACGCCTTTCTTTTGGCTATGATACATACAAGGTTGAATGAGAACTGTGTTCTGAGCTGCCTTCCCAGGTTAGCCCTACCTTGGTAGCAAATCTAGGTCCTCTCTCCCTCCCTCCCTTCTCAACTCCCTCCCACCTCCCACCCTTTCTACATTCTGGAGTTTACATTACTCTCTGGTAGTATAGCTTAATTTTTCTGCAGCATTTTTATTTTTGAACAAGTTTGACAAGACTTAATAGAACTGATACTTTCCTAAAAACCTCTGCACTTAGATCCAAAGGGTTGGGTGTGGACTATGCCAGGTTTTGCTGAGAAGTGGCATTCAGTTACAGAATTATGGGGAGGTTGCCTGACTTTTCACTTCTCCCCTGTGATACATTTGGCCGATGACTGCGTGTTGTGCAGCTTGGTTGCCAGCGAGCTTTGTCTGGGTGATGATATTTCTTCCTTTCTTCAAATTCTTGCCATGTGTTGATTAATTTTTATGGTGAAAAGTTTTCTTTTCACAGGGTTAACTGCCATTTCAGAGTTTGAAACCATGTAATGCTGCTGAGGATTTGTGGCGTGGAGGAGGTGTCAGTAATTGGTCATTTAAGGACCTTGTCTGCTGTCACCAGCCGTCTTCCCCACCAGGAATCTCAGGGCCTCCAATGGGCACAAAACAAAACAAAGACACAAAGAGAACAGCTGCCAATGGTGTCAGCAGCAGCCACGGGAAAGCAAGCTGCTTCTCTACCCCATGAACGTTTGCTGCAGAGACCTATACATGCACACTCTTCTAAAACCCTCGCAAAGTATTTAGGAATTAAAAATGACTTTGCAGGTAAGAACATGGTAGAGAAATACTGACTTGCTCAGCCACACAGGGACTCACATAGCTACCTAAGTAGAAGAGGCTAGACTTCAGTCCCAAACAAGGCTCTTTCTGTTTCTCACATCACTAATGAATCTTGACTTTAGTCTAATTTATTTTCTGGAAATGTGGTTCATTAGATCTGCTTCGATCATTCAATGAGGCAGGCTTTCTATGATCTTAGGACCCATCCTGGCTTCAGTTCAGGTTGATGACTGCTCCTCTGGCTTTGTAATCTGTGTAGCAAATGGGAGTATGTAGAAATTTGCACATGGATGCAAATGACACATATGCATATATAAAATTCTACATATAAAATGTAAGTGTTGAACAGACATGTAATTCTGTCTCTACTGCTTTTCTGATACTCAGTATTATTGACTAGCCATGACTTGCACTGTGCCTTTTTAAATTTTATTAGCCATTTTTTTGTTAAACTTTTAAATAATTTTATGTGTATGCGTATATTGTCTGCGTGTAGGTAAGTGCACCCATGTTGTGCAATGCCCACGGAGGTTAGAAGAGGCTGTCTGATCCCCTGGGACTGGAGTTACGGACAGTTGTTAGCTACCATGTGGGTGCTGGGATTCGAACACAGGTCTTCTGCAAAAACAACCAGTGTCCTTAACTTCTGAGCCATCTCTCCAGCCCCTTATTAGTCATATTTTTAGGTATAATTTTACTATCTGGCAGAAGCTAACTTGAGACTTTAAATGTCACCCAGACTGACCTTGAATCATGGTGATCCTCCTGTCTGTCTCTTGAATGCTGGGATTACAGACATGGGTCCCCATGCCCTGGCCTCAATACCTTTTAATACAAAGTATGACACAGACCTTCCTTTCTTTCACACACATCGTACGATTAAAAATACATGGCTTTTACCAATTTATTTCTGTGTGGATGTGCTCTTTTTCTGGAATCTCAAAAATCTCTTCAATACACAATCTAATGTCCACACTGGTATAAGACTCACTACATTTTAATCACATACAGAATCCCAAGCAAGGTTCATTTCTCATTTATTTGGGTGGAAGCAACTAGTACTTAAAGTATCCATGTCTGGAGGAGAGCTGCAGTTGATAGTTTCTGCTGTGGGTTCTTGAAAGGACAGGACTGTCTTTTTAGTTTTCTTGTCTCTGTATCTTCAGGGTCTCTTGAGCTGATATTTACTGCTCAACAGATCATCAAGGAACTGAATTCACATTAGATTTATTTTAAATTATGTGTGTGTGTCTGCATGTGAGTATGTGTACTTGTGAGTATGAGTGCCTACACAGGCCAGAAGAGGGCACTGGATTCTCTGGAGCTGGAGTTACAGGTGGTTATGAGTTGCCCTCCCCCCATGGGCACTGGGAACTTAACTCATGTCCTCTGGAAGAGCAGCAAGCACTCTTAACTACTGAGTCACTTTAAATGATCAATCATTCTATATAGGCTTAAAGTGTTCAGAGAAAGCCAGAGGCAGAGATCTGCAAACCCGCACCATCCCATCCTATGGACAAACTATATTGTGGTCTTTCAAACAAACGTGCTAAATCTGGGTCATTTATTGGTGTCTCAAATGCACCTTTCCCTCCAGACTTTCCTGGGAAAGGGGAAGAGAAATAGAAACTGGCATGTGAGTGCATCATTCAAAACTTAGTTTCCCATAATCTTCCACAGCGGAGATGGTTGCTGGGGTGGAGAAACTCACTAGCAAAAAGACCTTGGTTATAAGTGATGGGAGAGGCTCCTAGCCCTTCAACAGCAAGGTCAGTCACTAAGTGAGGGGCAGCCTTAGTATGTGGACAGTCATTTCTGTCACTAATAAACACTTGTCAACCCTGAGGACTTTTCAACGTGAAGTCTAGCAGACATACGGCATGCCATGAAACCAATCGGCTGAGTGACAGAGATATTTTGACTCAAGCCTCCATCTAAAAGGAAAAAAAACAAAGGCAAAAATATCTACTTAAATTAACTAGGTTACGTTGGCATTTAGTTTCATAATTCTTGCTCAATAATGCTGTCTACTTTATGTCTTTTATTATTTTTATTTTATGTGTATGAGTGTACTGCCTGCATGTATGTAAGTGCACCCATGTTGTGAAACCCATGCAATGCCCACAGAGGTTAGAAGAGGGCCTCAGATTCTTTGGAACTGCAGTTACAGATGGTTGTTAGCTGCCATAGGGGTGCTGGGAACCAAACTGGGTCCTCTGCAAGAGCAGCCAGCACTCTTAACAGCTGAGCCATCTCTCCAGTCCCAATGCTGTTTCCTTCAAAGAGAAGTCAGAGAATGCGTGCAGCCAAGAAGGTACAGCAGTCTAAGGTCACAGTGCCATTAGTTTGTGATCAATGCCTCGTCACAGCTCCAGAGCTAAAAACTAACAAGTGCGCAGTTACCATACTCAAGCCACAAACGGTTCCTTCCGCTGCCGGCATGAACTTGGTCTCACACCTGTGGCCCACTCGGTGGCACCAAAGTGATTTGCAAATATCCTGAAAGGGGGAAAAAAGGGTGGGGGTTGGTAAGGGTGGCAACATGGGAAAATGCAAATATTCTAAGTTTGGGGACACAATGTTATATTCAGGAATGGATGCAATCTCTCCCACACGCAAGCCATAGCACGTGTGTGGTAGTCAAAAGACAACTTGGGGGAGTCAGTTCTCCCTTTCTACCATATGGGTCCTGGGAATTGAACTTGGGTCACCAGGCTTGGTGGCAGGTCCCTTTAAGTGCTAAGCCATCTTGTTGGCCCTAAGAGACCTGTTTCCTAATGGAACTGATAATAGCCTGGATGGCAGAAAAGATTGAGACCAGATTAAAGCAGGTCTGAGTCCATCCTCGGCCTGGAAGCCGAGGGTCTCTCTGTTCTCACTGTGCTTTTCTTAGTCTTCACTCTAAAAGTGTTCAGATCAGTACATGACCCACAGAGCTGTCCTGAAGGATGAGCGACATAATACAGACTTAGCGGTTATTCTGCATGGCACACAGAGTCCCCAAAATAATTGGCCGTTATCACCACCACCATCATTACTTTCTTTACCTTTACTGCAATTTTCAGTTATTTAGATAATTCAATTTTGATACTAGACCAGTGAAATACTTTGAATAATCATGAGGTGGCCTCCTAACAACAGAATTGCAGCTATCATTTCTAGGGCTTCTATATTAATGGGATTGAGGGGGTCTAGTTATTGTGGAAATAAAAGTGAGGGGTGTTGGTCATGGGAACAGTTCAAGTTATTTCTATGAAGGTGTGACCGCCACCCCCCACCCACATGTAGTGTCATCTCCCTCCCACGTGTAGCAAAGGCCAATTTGAGCTTCATCGACCCTAACAACTATTCAAGATAGAGTTCGAAGAATTAAATAATTGTCCTTCCTAGAGCCAACAGAGAGCTCTAACCTACACCTATAGCAGCCACTGAAATGATCCTGGGACAAACCAAATAAATGGAGAGACCTTAAGAAAAAAATGCCAAAAAACAGGAGTTCTAGACACTGCAGCCAAAGCCAACCCACAGGACCGAGGGGCGGCAGAGGGAGAGGAGTGGGTAAACCCAGGGATTCCAGAGTGAAATGAGACAGGCTGCAGGAACATGTTATTTCTCCTGTGGTGAAGAGCAGAGGTCAAGTGTAATTATAGCCAACTCTATGCTTTAATGACTGCGAAGGCCATCTGAGAAAACTCCCCTTCAAAGTAAACAAAAAGGGGACTTTACACTTTTTTGCTTGTCCCTCCCCCTGCCCCATATTCAAATAACTTTTCCTTAACTATAATTACCTGGACTTAAGTCATAATTTAAGAGAACAAGAAATAACCACAGAGGCTCCAAGATCTTATGTTGCCTGGATATGTTTTCTTTTCTTCTGAACAAGACATTTTCAAGCCGGGATACTCAATGCTGGCCATAGTGGGTCCTGTCATTTGCTGACCCATGTTCTCTGGTTATATTCCCCAAGACATCTGTCCCTTCTAGTAAAATATGACATGTTGAAAATGTTAAAAGCTTCTGAAAATAAGGTTTTATAAAGCACATACAAAACAGAACGCTGGTCAGTCCCGCCAGAGCTGTCCTGTGTTCATAACCTGCACCAGTTTTCAACACTTCTATTCTCCCCGCCGCTCAGGCCTCTGAAGTCACCTGACTCCTGAATTTCATTTCTATCAGGAAATCTTCGAGCTCATGAAATCACAATGACTTAACCTTCGAAAGGTTTCCTGAATCTTAGCAATGATTCTGGCTTACCTCATTGCTACCCTGTTCCGGCCACTTCACACACACCTTCTTGCTGTCCACTTGTTACAAGCCTCATAGTTCAGCTTTTCCCCATCCCTACCCAGTTAGTTCTCAACACAGCACTACCCAAAATGGCAACCTATAGGTGAGTTGTATCTGAGTCACATTTCATGTTCTTAAGAGTCAGATATGGTAAATGGCTACCATGCTGGATGACAGGGAACATGTCCATCATTACAGAAAGTTCTACTGGCCAGCACTGAGCTCGAGGGGTGTAGGTCAGTCACCTCAAGTCCCTTTTCTGCTCTAATCAGGCAATCCCTTTACACCTCACTTAGAGCAATACCAGAGTCCTTCGTTTTTTTTTTCTGGGAAAAATCAAAGTTTTATTATGCCACAAATTGGTCATTTTAGTGAAACAGAACATTGAGATCAGCAAATGAAATAGTCAGAGAAAAACATTTTTACATTTTTATCCATATCCTCCCTGACTTGTGTATGTGTGTCGAATGTATATTTTTCTATTTTTGAAAATGGAATCATGCTTGCATGCTATTTTAGGCCCAGAGTGGATATAAACTTTGTGACTCTAAAGCCTTTAAAAACTGAGAATCTTTAAGAAAATGTTTTAAAGTTATGAATGCAAACAGTGGGAAAGGGTTCTGACACTGGAGTGTTATTATTCTGTTGTTCACTAAATCCCTTTTTTAACAGAAAAATTCATTTTTAATGCAACTGACATTAAGATGTTTGCATATACATTTCTATTCTCTATATATCTGATTATTACTAGTCACAGTTGGTTACTTTCTGAGCTCCTTGGCATCTGAGCATGGATATAAAGTCATCAGGTAGATCTCAGTGGTAATGTTTTTCACTTCTACTAATTATTAAGGAGCAAATTTTTATGCTTTGAAGAATTATAATTTTTTTAAATCAGAGTCTTTCTTATTCCCTTCCAAGCCATCTCTTCAAATCCTCTTTATCTCTGATCTTGCCTGTGACTGGCTCACTCCTGATGCTGTAGTTTGCTTTCTGCTGCTGTTACAGTAATTTAGAGGAGGAAAGAGATTATTTGGCCTACAGATCCAGGTTATACTCCACTACAGCAAAGAAGTCAGAGGGTCAGGGGCTTGAAGCAACTGGTCACATCTACAGACAAAGCCAGAGAGAAAGAGTCAACTCATAGATCCTTGCTTGCTCCCTTCTCAGCTAGCTTTCTCTTCTTTGACACTACTTAGGCCCACCTTCCTCCTTCCTAGGGAATGGTACCACCCACCATGGCATGGGTCTTCCTACATCCATTAACAACCAAGACAATTTCATGGGCCAACCTGATCTAGATAATTCCTCACTGAGACTGTCTTCCCAGAGGATTCTAAGTTGTGCCAAGTCAACAGTTAAAAATAACTAGCACAACTGCTTACTCAAACAGCTCTGGACTCTGAAAGGACCTACAGATTGTTCCAAACACAGATCTTTCTGCTGCTCTATCTGCTTCCCCAATTATCTGAATGCCTAAGATGTCCTGCTTTTGAAATTTCCTTCAAGTCTGCCTAAATTTTTACCTCCTGGGACCTCATTAATACGTGTGTGTGTGTGTGTGTGTGTGTGTGTGTGTGTGTGTGTCCATGCATTGGGGCTCAAGTCTAGGGCCTCACATTTGTTAGGCAAGCACTCTAACACTTAGCAACATGTCTAGCCTTACTAATACAAATTAATCAACCACTACTTAGTCAACCTCCAACTTACCTTATCCAAGCTCTTTTCACTACAGTATTTACTTACACATCATGTTCACTATGCATCACCCTCCTCCCCAACACAACATCACCGTTACAGGGCAAGAAACTTTTTCCCCATCTGATGCATTTCAAGAACCTAAAACAATACTGGTACAGAGCAGGCTTCAATAAATATTTTTTTTCAGCAAGTCAAATGTATGAGTTAAAATGATTGGCTTTACAATTAGAAATCCTCTTCAGTGGAAGTAAAGACTCTGGAATCCTTAAGAGGTTTCAATTAAAATCACGTATGTCAGGTGTGGTGACATGTGCCTCTAATCCCAGTACCCAGGAGGCAGAGGTAGGTATATCTCTGGGAGTTCGAGGAAAGCCTTTCCACGCCAGTCAGGGCTACATAGTGAGACCCTATCTCAGATACACGCAAAATAAAACTGTATGAGAAGTTAACAAAACATGCTAAAAATAAATTGGTCCCTATTGGGGCTATAGGTACGAGGCAGAGCACTTATCTATCATGCACAAGGCCCTGGGCCCAATCCAGTATTGAAGAAGGAAAGAACGAAGTAACAGCAAAAAGCAATAACCCTGAGTCCTATCGCTTGGAGTGATTCCTGTATTGACTGAACCCACAACTGTTCTCCTCAATGTGCTGATAAGAAATTGAGTCTCAGGAAGAGTCAAATGAATTCAACTGCTTTAAGCAGGTAAGTCTCTCCTTGGCTGGAACTTAACTGCACTTATGCTTAACCTTACTACTCAAGCTTTTAAGCTACATTGTAATTAAAAAGTAACAATCAACAAGCACTGTGATTGGCAACATTTTAAAAATCAAGTTTTCTGAGGTATAATTTACAATAATGTGCACCCATTTTAAGCATATGGTTCTAGACACTCTAACAGAATATATGCCATTGTAGGCACCACCATAATCAAGATGGAACACTGGTGTTACCCCCCAAACACCCCTCTGAGAGGAAACCCAGCTGTGCTGCTGACTGTCACCAGATGCCCCTCCTTAACTTCATACAATGGAATTGTACCAAATGGACACTTAAGTTATTTTACTCAACATGTTATTTTTTAGCCATCCATGTTTCTGTGCCTAGTTATGGATTCTTTTTTTCTCTTCTGATGAAAAAGTTTCATCATATAAATATATAAAAATTTGTTTAGTCATAGTCTGAAGGAAATTTCATAAAAGTTACTTCTAGTTATTGGTGCTTATCAATCAAGCACTAGTTAAGAACATTCCTCACTAAATATTTTTCCTGAGTATTTTCTTTCACTTCTGGAGATAAACCCTTTGGAGTGGATTTTCTGGATCATAGGGTAAAGGCATGGTTAGAAAGATACGGCTATTTCAAGGGGCGGGAGAGATGGCTCAGCGGTTAAGAGCACTGGCTGCTCTTGCAGAGGACCCAGGTTTGGTTCCCATCACTCACATGGTGGCTAAAAACAGTCTGTAACTCCAGTCCCAGAGGATCCAACGCCCTCTTCTGTCCTCCTCGA